AGGTAAGAAGGATGGACGTCTCCACCAGACTTTTTTGTCCATGGGTGAGACTTGGAGCTCCCAACTGCCTCCTTCCTTGGGAAACCGTGATTTGTGTTTGTTTCCCCCCCCCCCCACATCTCCAGAAACGGCTTAGGACAGAGGTAGAGGATGAGGTGAATCTGGAACGATCTGGTAAAGAACATCTAGACTTCTCATACCCGACAATTGAATCTCTTCATCTGAAAGAGGCTGTCGCGTGTCAGTGTCTGTGTTGTCCGTGGCTTGATGTTGCAAAAGGCTGCCCCGAATGAGGCAGTCACCTGCTTTCAACGGCTCGGTCGTTCCTTCCCTCAAGGTTGCGATTGCCATTGTCGGCCTGCTCTACTCCTTCCTACTGCTCGTGCCGGACGCGTGCCTTCCTGTCGTCGTGCGCAGTTTGGCCGGGTCGCGCCTGCCGCTCCTCCCAGTTCTGATTGCAATGGCTGCGATTGGGAAAGCCGGTCGGGGCCTACAAAGCAGTCGTGAATTTCCCAGTGCGACTTTCCAAACCTCCTTCTTCCCAACAACAAACGAAGCAGAACCGGCGCTAACCATGGCGCCCAAAGCTCCCACTCCGCGCACTACGCGTAACAGTCGAGGACTTCGGTCCTCTCCTGCCGTCGCATCGACGGTAACCCGTCGCTCTTCCGCTCGCCGAATTGCCGGCACCGCCACCACCCCCAACGCCGTCGCTCCTGCGACACCAACCCCTCGGCCTCGGGCCACCAACTTTTCGGTCGCCGCCGCCGCTCCCCTCCACCAAATCAAGGAGGAGGAAGCCGGCGCCACCAGCACCACCCCCTCCGCCACTCCGGCGACGGTTCGCCGTCGCATCTTCCCACCTCCGGTCGCACTTCCCCCGGCCACTCCCCAACAACCCGTGCTCTCCTCCGCCCCCGCCCACCTCCAGCACCCTCGGGTCTCCTCGATAAGAGGAACCCCTCGCCAACAATCGCCGAGGACGCCCCTCTACCACCCCCAGCGATACCTCGTGCGGTGGGTTGACAGAGCCCCTCTCCCGGCTGTTCTGTCGACGCCAGAGAGCCCTGGTCATGAAACCAGCAGATTTCGTGCGCGAAGAGACCAAGAGGGCGAGGAAGAGTTCGCCAAAGAACTCTACATCGCAATCCGCAACGACCATTTGATGCGCGATTGCTGGTGCGGCCCACCAATTATTTACAATTCCCGTGACGAAGCCGAGGAGGGAGCTGGCCACTTCCGATTTTATACCACCGGCCCAGACAGCAAGAACCTCCACGTCATCCAGAAGAAGGATGACAACCGCTGGCACTGCATCTGCGGTCAAAAAGTTCACCCGGTGTATACCGACTTGCTCAACGCAAACGGAAAGCGCCCAGCAACAGACTCTGAGTTTGATCTGATTGCGCAGAACGAAGGACTTGAGACCAACAAGTCCTTCGAGAAGGTGCTCCCCGCTGAGCCACAACAACAACAACAACAACAACAAGAAGTCGAGGTCCAGTCACAACCTCGCTCCATGTGGGATCGCGCACGAGGCTTTGCCAACTCCGTCGTTGCCACCATGGCCAGCCCACTTACTAATTTATTCGGCAAGATCCGTGACGCCTACGAGGTAGTCGACACCCGCAGCTGGAGCGCCCAAGATGACACAATTGTCGTCAAGAGGATCAAGCGCCAAGCCCAACAGCACTTTATTCCAGGCGAGCAATCCCACAATGAGGATGATCCCGAGTTCGCCAAGCTTGTTTGGGCGCCCACCCCTACGAAGCGCATCGGCTACTTCAAGCTCAAGGACTTCAAGAGCAGCCTGAATGATCAGATCGCAATCATTGACGCCGGAAAGATTGTTAGCGGTGCTGCAACCATTGAGCAAATCAGGGCGCAGATTGATGTCGGCTACGATGAACCCACCAGCATCGCGGTCCTCAAGTATCAGGAACTCATGTTTGGTCCGGTCACGCCGGAGCTTCCCGAGGCAGAGAGGGCCGAGCAACTGCTCGAGGCGTATTTCAAGTACCGGCAAACTCTCCACCAGGCTCGCGCGTTTCTCGACGAGCTCTATCACCCGTCTTCCTTTGAAGATATCAAGAAGGAATACAAGTCACCGCCGCGCAACCTTGCTCTCGGAAATTACGTATACCGCAAATCCGCGAGAGAGACTGCAGAGCTCATGTGCTTCCTTTCCTCATTGAAGGAGTTTCTACCAATCCGCAGAGAGACGTTGGAAACCATGTCCAAGATCTGTGTTGACGCTAATGCTGTCCACAAACAAGAGGTGGTTCCCAGTTTCGTCGAGTTGCCCACTGCAGGTCCCTATGTGGATATGCCTGGCTACTTCCCTGAGGATGACACAGTAATGGAGCCTGTCCACCTCGAAGACATGCGCATCGAGCCTTTTTACGAGTTCAGATACCCGTCGCCCGATCTGTCCGATTCGGATGACGAACTTCCAAGAAATCCTGGAATGTACAGAAAGATTGCGAAGCCGAAGGGTATTCTCAAGCCTCCGAAGCAGTGGGATGCGCCACCGTCGCCTAAACCTTACTGCCCTACCCCGCAGAAGAAGCGAACTTTGGCCTTTGAGAGTCCCGTCGCTAGATTTATCCCACCTTCACACATTCCTGCCCGGGTCATGACACCCTACGAGGCAGAACAGCTCTTGCAAGCCCAGCGCAAGGCTGAGATTCTTCGAGATAAATACTCGGTTAGAGTCTTTGAATCATCCAAGACTATTTCCAGGTCCAACTCCCTTTACCCAGACCCTACCAACCGCTGGAGTTTAGATGGCCTGGAAAAGGATGACGAAGAACTGGGACTCAAATATCACGCCCAGAAATACGAAGACTTCCTGAACGATGTCAAGGAAGACTTGGAGGAGCGAGAAGAGAAGAAGCAAAAGAAGAAGGAGGAGAAGCGTGAACCAGCCCCGAAGAGAGACAAGGTTCTTATCCCGGCGCCTCCTCGACTGAGAACCCCTGAGCGGAAGCGGAGAGAACTAGCACGTGTCGCACAGCTTAACGACACGCTCTCCAGCCCAGCGCATCCTAGCCCTTATACCAACCCCTTCCGTCAGCAGAAGAACGCCGAACAAGAAGCCTCCAAGGAGACCAAGCCGAAGATCTCCGCCTTCGACCGGCTGTTCAATGACGATGAGGTCGAAAAGCTGTTGATAATTTCTACCCAAAAGGTGCAGGAGTTGGAGCTCAACAAGCAAATCGAGGAAGAGTTTCAGGCCGCGCTTAAGCGAGAGGCCGAAGAGAAGCGTCAGCGAGAGATTGAGGAGGCTGCCCTAGCGGAGAAGCGTCGCCTGGAGGAGGAGCGTCGCAAGAAGGAAGAGGAACGCAAGCGCCTAGAGGAGCAGGCCCGTCGTCGCAGAGAGGAGCAATTGCGCAAGGAGGCTGAAGAGTTCTTGGCCCTGACCGGCTTGAGACGTCCCAACCGCCCTCTCATCGAAGAGATGTCTGATGATTGGCACGAGAAGGTCGCCGACGTTTCCATGGCTAATCCCGCTACTCCGTTGGCCAAGACACCAGAAGGACAAGACTTGGTCCGCCGCGATTTTGAAGAGATGCTTCTTCCGCCTACCGCCTGGCTCAATGACAACATCATCATCGGGTCTATTTTACACGTTGCCGATGCAATCAATTATGCCAAGAAAGCACATGCCACAGAGCCGAAGTGTGCTGCGTTTACGTCTTATTTCTATCCTCGTCTTGTTGAGCATGGCGCAAAGAATTGTGCTCGCCTTCTGCGCAGGGCCAACGTGAGGAAGAACAATTTCTTTGACATCGAGACTATTCTGGTCCCCATTTGCCAGAACTCTCACTGGACCCTGGCTATCGTGCGGCCCGGTCAGAAGACGGTTGCGCATATTGATTCCCTTCAGGGTGGACGCGGCAAGAAGCAAGTCACAGACAAGATGCTGGAGCTTGTGAGCACCGTCCTTGAGGAGCAGTATAAAGAGGACGAGTGGAAGGTGGTTGATTATGTGGCACCTCGACAGGACAATGGCTGGGATTGTGGAGTCTTCACCATTACGAACGCCCTGTGCATTGCGCTCGGGGTTGATCCCAACCAGAGTTACACTGCCGGTCAGTTGACTGCGCAGAGGAGGAGGTTGGCTGCTGTTTTGTTGAATGGGGGGTTCAAGGGTGATTTTGGGATCGAGGAGTATTGATGAGAGGGTTTTACATTTTGGGAGGCGTTCGATTCATTCAAGCATGCATGGAGCATATCAAAAAGGGGTGTTTATGGTTTTCTTTTTTTTATGGATTCAGGAACTGGAATTGGGGGTGAAGAATACAAAATTCGGGGTGTTTATGGGTTTGAAGGGGGTGTTTTAGGTCTTTTGATGCCTGTGTGGGTTTATTTCAAGGCCAAAAAAAGGGACATTGTTAGGCCTTTTGTGGGATTTTGTTTGGTGTTGAAAGATTTTTTGGGACCCCTCGGTCTGGGATTGAAAAGAGGCAGGCATTCTTATTTTGTTTTAGGAAAGATACCAAGCGAGTCAAAATGCATATTGTTTAGTTTCTTGAATATCTTTTTTTCTTTTTTTTCTACATGTCATGCGTATTTGATTTGTTTAAGGTGTGTTGAGATTCATGGAGGGCATAATAAGTTTGTGAGTGAAGAAAGGGCATGAAACTGGGCAAGTTGTGTGTGTGTTTGTGGGATTATTGGAGGCCTGTTTTTGTTGTTTTTGTCATTGAAAGGCCTGTGTGGGATTATTGCAGCTATACTTTGGCATGTCTTGTTGGTTTGATGGCATAGATGAATTATTGAAGGCCTGCGTGGGGAAGTAATAAAGCCGTGTGCATATGTATTGTTATGAGCATGCGTGCATCTGCAAGGGTTGTGAGGAGGCCTTTTTACAACCAATGAAGCTGTTTGATATTAAATATGTCTGGCATGTGTGATTTGAGTGTTTGCGTGATTTGATTTGAGGTAGTGGTTGTGTGTGTGTGTATGGTTGGAAAAGAAAAAAACGCAAAAAGGAATGCCCAATAACAGGATTGAACTGTTGACCTTCGCATTTACCAAATATGATCTCTCTTGACAAGAAATGATATTAGTACGACGCTCTAACCAGCTGAGCTAATCGGGCTGCATTGACCCGAAGTTCGGATGATGCTGATGACTGGGTTGGTTTTGGAAAGTATCGTCCACATGGGGAATGTTTGTTGAAGGGTGGGTAAAAACTCTCTTTCATCCCGCTTCTCAATTCGACTGGATAAGAGACCAAATACCAAAGATTTTTGACTGGAAAATACACCGACTCATTTTTGCGCACTCAAAAAGCTAGACAGTTGGCTCAGCTGTATTTTTGCAACACAGAAACGACATCAAATTCCACCTTGAGGGACTCCTTCCAACCCTCAACATCAACAACTCCAACTATCAAAATGTCAACCTCACCACCCCAACCACCACCAAAACGCCCACCAAAGCCAAAACCCCTCCCACCAATAACCCTCGCCATCTCCTCCTGGCTCGACACCTTGCCTTCCACCCTCCTCACCCAACTCCTCCTCCTCACCTCTCCACCTCCTTCCTCCCAACCCTCAACCGACACCCTCAAACGCCACCTCCTCTCAACGTCTCCAACCCGCTTCCTAACCTACCCCCCACTCCTCCTCCTCCCCTCGGGTTCCTTCTCGTCAACCCACTGGACCGCCCTCCTTTCCTTACTCACGCCCAGCCAGTCGGCTTCACTCTGGACTTCCATCCTGAGCATATTCCCCGGCGGCCTCACACACCTGGCCGTCAACTCGGGCATCCCACCAGTACTACCCAAAAACAACAACAACACCAACAACAACAACTCAAAAGAAGAAGAAGAAGAAGGAGAAAAAGAAAACACGCTCCGTTCCCCAACCAACCTTGTGCCCTTATGCGGAGGAGAGGACTTGGACAAGCTGTGGGTGTCGACGAAGCAAAACGGCCTCACGCAGGTATGGGCCCCCGCGCACACAATGTTCAGCAGGGGAAACGTCAAAGAAAAAGCGAGGGTTTTGAACTTTTCACCACCACCCACACCCACGGCGGCGGGGAAGAGAGCAGAGTATGCGGTTGATTTGTACGCCGGGATCGGGTATTTTGTCTTTTCGTACGCAAAGTTGGGGTTCGGGGTCGTCGGGTTCGAGCTGAACCCTTGGTCGGTCGAGGGGCTGAGGAGGGGAGCGGCGGCCAACAGGTTTGGGGTGAGTGTTGTTGCTGCTGTTGCTGTTGGTGAGGACGAGAAGAAGAAGAAGAAGGAGACCGAGGAGTTGGACCAACAGATTGTAGTCTTTGAGGAGGATAATCGCCACGCGGTGAGGAGGATCAAGGAGATGGGCATAGGCGCCAAGGGGGAGAGGATAAAACATGTCAATTGTGGGTTTCTGCCTACCAGTGAGCCGGTTTGGAGGGATGCGTTGGGGATCGTGCGGACTGGATGGGATGAAGGGAAAGAAGAGGGACGGTTACATTTGCACGAGAATGTGGGGGTTGAGGATATTGAAGGGAGGAGGAAGGAGGTCGACGAGAGGTTGAGAGGGTGGGTTGAGGGGGAAGGGGTGGGAGTCAAGGTTGAGCATTGCGAGTTGGTAAAGACTTATGCTCCGGGGGTGTGGCATTTGGTTTGGGATGTTAGGGTTTGGAGGGGGTAGGATGGGATAATAATGGCTGGTATATTATAGGACCACCCATAGAAGATTGTTGAAAAAAAAAAAAAAAAAAAAAAAAAAAAGTGAATAAACATGGCCCCTTGACACACAAGTTATGCACGCCGTCTACATAGCTAAAATTGAGTTTAAAAAGAATACTACGAGGTGGTGGACTTTATCGTATCCGATGGAAAATGCCCCCTCTCAGGTTTGTTCTCTCTTTCTCTTTTTATTAACCTTTATACAATCATCACTCAAGAATGTTTGTTACAGAGAGAGGAGCATCGCAGCGAGATAAATAGATTTGGTCTCTCGTTTTTATGTGGCCGTCGTGGAGAGTTCAAAGTGCCCGACTGACGTAGAAAATAAGAAAAGACGAGTGACTAAAATTTCCCCCATCTCTCGATATTTTCATTAGATTATCATTTGCATCGTAAGCATCTGTACAGATGTATCCCATTCATACCTTCTTCTTCTATCAGCATTTAAAAAGAGGTGTTTGATGAATAAGCAAGCATGTGAGCGTCTCTATGGATATATATATTACAAGACGTATGATAATAATGAAGCCTGCCCGGGACTCCATTCTGATGCATATATTACAAACAGCGTAATTAAAGTAAAAGGCCTTTTCCACAAGCAACAAGAAAGAGACAAAAAATCGATATCCCAGAAACGCTCCCCCGCTTGCTCCCTTATTGATGCCCTCCCCTCATACAGGAAGAGGCTCTTCATCATCATCGCACGTGGCGAGAATCACATTATCATTACCCACGTGATGTTGTAGTACCCGTCGCTTCGCCCATCGCAAAGTTACAACAGCCCTCTAGCTGCCGCGCCGAAACTTTGCAGGAATATTAGACTCGACAATGCTCTGAGTCCTCATATTCTCTAACCGCTCCTGCTCGGCCTCCATCTCCTCGTGCTTCTTGAAATGTTCGATATCTTCCGGGTGAGTCAAGTCCTCGAGCTTTGTGTTTTCGTCGTGGTACTTCTCCCAGTGGTGAATCTCGTACTCGTACTCGTCGTCCCCGTGGTGCCCAGGACCGGTCCCCAAGTCTGGCAGGGCCTTGCCGTCCACCTCGATGAATTTGACAAACTCGTCCTTGCTGATGAGGCCGTCGCCGTTCGCGTCGATCAGGTCGAGGATCTGCTTGGCGAGCTTGTCTTTCTGCTCGGCGGTGTAGTGCTTGTTTGACTCGTCCATCAGACCGTACGTGCGCAGGATCTCTTGGGCTTCCCAGTGGTTGTCGACGTCGTAGTCGTGCAGGGAGAAGAAGGAGGCAGCGTCGAAACCGGATATGTGGTGTTCCTCTGGGGAAAAAAAAGGGGAGAGCCAGTCAGCACTGAGAAATAACAGCACACAAGGATGGGCGCAAATTACCAGCCATGTGTTTGGTCATCCAATTGGCATTTTGGTCGACTACAGGTTTTTGGGAGCCTCCGCTGCCACCACCCCCGCTGTGATCGCCGTGGGCGAGAGCATAGCCTGCTATGCTGGAGAGGAGGATTCCTGAGGAGAAGCGCATTGTTGCTGTGATGGTGGCGGTAGTGGTGGTGGATGTATTTCAGAATGTTTCAATTAATTGTGGATGGTCGAGACTCGGTGAAGTGAGACGGAGCTTTCTCAAGTCGGACCCATGTTCAAAAGTCCGGTGAGTGAAGTGACAGGGGTGAGTGGGTTAAACACCACCCGCTCGGGAGTTCCTTCCCCTCAATCCGTTGTCTCGGGACCGAAATCGAACCATTGTTGCATTTCCTGTGATCTTGCACAAAGGGGAAAGAGCAGATCGATCTCGGAAGATGGAGATTGCCGGGAAAAAGCTTCTTCTTTCTGCCTTGTTCAAAGCTCGAAAGGATTGGTCAATTCGATCACAGCGGGGCGCAATAATTGGGAATGGGAATTTGGGATTTCTGCTCTCTCGACGTCAGCGCTTGTGAATAATTCCTCAAACCCCACCAATCAGAGACAGTGGGGGTTGAGAAGAGATGAAGATGTTTGCGTGTTTGCGTGTAAAAGTGATAAGCCACAAAATGCCCAAAAAGGACGCACGCATGAGGGGATTGATCCAAGCTGCCACGGCTGTCAACCAGTACATCAAGGTTACATTGCCGCCCTTCTCTGGAGATCTTCCAAGGTTTTTTGACTCTTGTCTCTTGAAGGTTACGACATGAACTATTATTATTATTATTATTATTATTATTTTCTTGTTTCTCCCCTCGAGTCAGAGGGAGGACCGAATACTACCAAAAGAAAACACAAAACCTCGACGCCACATCCCGACATCCAACCATTACCCAAGATTGTCCCGTCATGCAGGAGAATGAATGCATTTATTTATATATACATACATGCAAACACAAAAAAGCCGCGCGCGAAGGAATTGTTCCAGAAGACACGGAAACGGAAACCCTCCTTCCACCCTCTTTGTTTTATTCATTCGTTTATTTATTCGGCGTCTGCGGCCCATTAAGCCGGGACTTTCCTTTTTCTTTCTGCTTACACGATTGGCTTCAACACCCGGCGGCATTGTTGTCAAGTATCGATAGGCAGCCAAAAAAAGAACAACCGGACCGGATATCGTTCCAAGCCCCAACGGCACAGCCAAAACGGACATGACTCGGGAGAAGAATGATCATCATCATCATACTCAGCCCTTTCCTCCCTTTTTTTTCTTTTTCTTTTTGGTTTTTCTCTCCCTCCTTCTTTCTCTTTCTGTCTCTTCGCGGCTAAACAACAAGGCTACAGAGACATACATGCAACATATCTGCACGTCCAAACAGACTGCATTCATGCCTTTTTATTTTTTTCCCCTTGGGTTCCATTCCAGAAACCAAAATATCCGCTTCCTTCGGCAAACAAGTTTGCCCTGTCGGTAACCCCCGGCTTACATTCCTGACAAACTCATCCTCGTCCAACTCCCTCGACTCAATTCCTCTCTCTCCCTCTTTCATTCTCGTCATCTCTCGACGCCAACTCAAAATTCCCGCTGGCAGATCAATCATCCACCTACAACACACACCAGACACCTCCCTCCCCTTACAGGCCAATCTAGCCTTGCTCCTCCTTCAGGCGGCTATATGACTTACAGAGGAACTCGCCCCAGCATTTGCGCCCAACACCCACCACATCCCTCATTCTCAGATTTACTCCAAGTGGGACATTTATAAGCTGCAACAGCACACACTACTTCATACAGACTGGTTCCCACACGTTCTCCCGCTCATCACCACTTCAGAGACATGACACGCATCACATTTCACTCGGTGCAAGGCACAACCATGTTTTCAAAACAAAGACATTGCATTTCCATATACGAAAAAAGAGACTATCATAAAATAGGTAGGTATGTATGAACCAAAATAAAAACTAAAAGTACAGGAGAACAAAAAAGAGAAGAAAAAAGGAGAAAAAGAGAAGGAAAAAGAAAAAGAAAAAGATTCCTCAAACCCTTATTCA